TTTCCTTACCAGCAATGGGAGCTCAGGACCCTGCAGTCACCTGCGAGTGTCTCCAGTGCCCAAATCCTTCACATGCACAAAAAGAAGTGAAATGAATGCCCCTGGTTTCAAAGAGATATTGCACTCCTCACTGGGATCCAAAGCAGGTTCTCTCCAGCAATACAGTGATGGTAAATGGCTGAGAAAGAAACTTCAGTGCCTTTATTCCTCAGTCCCAGGCTCATCATCTCCTTGTTGTGCTCTAGGGGAAGGCTGCATCGCCCTGCGAATAGAAGCAACCGAGTCCTTAGTTCCCATCCACACCGTGCTGACACACCATGGCGAGAAAACGGGGGTCTTCCAGGGTGAAATCAAGTTACAGACATCGCAAGGGAAACAGAGAGAAAAGCTGTATGGTAAGGAACAAGAGCTCTGTGCAATGCTCGCCCTAGAGAACATCCATCTCCAAAGACTTCTGCTAGCTCCTGAAAACGGTCCTTGCAGTGCTCTTAGTCACGGGGAGGCAGGAGCTTTGGGTGCTGGCTGTAAGGAGATGTGGGCATTGTCAGCTCTCAGGAGGATACCTGTGCTCTTTCAGAAACGCAAGCGCTTCCACCTGAGTTTTTCTTTACCATTCAAGTAAATTCGGCAGGCTCAGAGAGCCCCCTGTCTGCCACTGGTACCGGTGTCAGCGAATGGTGGTGGTTTATTGCCACTGGCTGTATAACAAGGCGGCAAAACTCTCCCTGCTCCAGCCGCCCTGGGGAACATCTGAAAAAGGCATTTGAGTCTCTCAAGGAGCAGTTCCTCAGCTAAAAGATCATAAACTTGGCCTATTTTCACCTTGTTACCCGTTGTTCTCTTTCAGAGTGCAAAAGCAGCCTCGCTACATTTACTATGGTCAGTGGTAAAATGACCTATATGTGAATGGGGGATCAAGACCTTTGTATTTCAAGATACACACTTCTTCCTGTGTCAGCAGAACATGATCTGTATTAGTGTGCAGTTGAAAATGTAATAGAACAACTGTTTAAATCTGTCTCGCTGTCATTCTGGTAGGCAGAGATGCCTTAATACAAGCAGGAACATAGCAAACGCAGGGAGTCAGACTCTGAAGCTGCCAAAACTCTCTCTTACACCTTTTCTTTCCCTCAGATTTTGTCAAGATTGAACGTGACGAAATTGCTGGGCAGAAACCAAAGAACATTGGCAGCTTAGAGCCCAGCAAAGACTGGGATCAGACCAACAGGTAAAGTCAGTTACAGAAAACTAGCTGGCTCAATAAACACAAAGCTGGGCTTGCTTTGGGAGCAGCGTGAACAGGCTCGGTGAGCCTGGGAAGCTGCCTTGGTGGCTTTCTGGTCAGGGCTGGGCAATGCTGCTGTGCCCACAGCTTCAGCAGCTGAGAGTGCATTAGTCAGCCTGGGTCCTGCACCCCACTGGAAAAGGGCCCTTTTGTTTCCAACAGAAAGTCCAAATCTACTCATCTGATGGCCAGAGAGGCAGCAGCCATTGCTCGCTACTGGGGGAGTGCTTCTTCTTCTCCAGACAACCCAGGAAAGGAGGAGATGTTACGGTAACCTTGCTGCTTTACCTCCACCAGCTTGGGGTGGGAAGCTGTGCTCAAACTGCCTGTCTTTGCCTTTCTGAGAGTGATGGGATGCCTCTGGGTAAGGCTGTCCTTTCATTCCAGCCTCAGAGATGCATTTCTTTGCAGGCAGCTTCCTGCCTTCGGCCTGCTAGTTCATATGGGTACATCTCAACAGGCCAAATGTCTGTGCTGTGCAATGCTGCCCAGCACTGCAATTTGCCTCTTGCTTGGAGCTGCTGAGCTGCTGGGCCCAGAAATGTGTCAAAGCCCCTCTGTGTGGGTGCAGAAGCATGGGAGCATCTGCCACAGCCAGAGGAACTGTGCCCAGTCTTGGTCCCTGCTATCCAATAAAGATGTGGACAGGTTGGAAGGGTCCAGAGAAGGGCCACGAGGATGCTCAGAGGACTGGAAGAGCTGACAAAACTGGGCCTGTTCAGCCTTAGGAAGAGAAGGCTCAGGCGGGACCTTATCACCATGGACCAGTGCATAAAGGGTGGCACCAAGAGGATGGAGACTCCCTTTAACAAGGAGTCCCATGGAAGAGACGAGGGGCAATGTACACAAGTTTTGTCTGGGGAGATTCCCATTGAACTCCAGAAGTCTTTTTACTATGAGATCAATCAGACATTGGAATAATGCATCAATGAGATATTGGAATAATCTGTCAATGGGATACTGGAACAATCTCCCAGGGGAAGTGATAAATTCCCCTACACTGGTCAGTTTTAAGTCAGCTTGCCACGGTGCTGCCTCAGCTCATTTGAACTACACTTGTACCTTGGGAGATTGGACTGGATGATCCTTGTGGTCCCTTCCAACCTAGTATCCTATAATTCTATGATTTGATGATTCTATCTCAGACTGGGGGATGTGGCCTTGACCCAGCTCCTTCCTTCCCAGTAGCCCAGGGGAGGGAGGTGCTGACAGGACTCCCACTTACTCTCAACAGTCAGTGGTACTGAACCTAAGCAGTCAGTGGGCACTGACTCCTTTGCAGCTGGCAGGGGGAAGAAACATCAAATGTATTTGTTAACGTATTTTCCTAACAGTATTTCTTCTTTCCAGCAGCTCCACGCCCACAGACATCAGCAACCCCAACTACCTGGGGATGGCAGCTTTCTCTCAGCAGCCACCCGCAAGCAGCCAGCTCAAGCAGATACCCTCCCCAGACCAGCCACCTTCTCTCTGGAGCTACGAGCAGCAGCCCAAGGACACCACCTCTGTAACGGGGCAGAATCCGGCATCCTCCACATCGCCCTCCTTGTCGCCTCTGTCGCCAAAACCGCCCCTCCAGCCTGCAGTGAACAGGAGCATCTCCAGTCGGAGTCAGGAGTACCTGTGAGTTTTTGAGTCCTGTACTGGGGCCAATTCTCTCTGGTCATTCTATGCAGTCACTATTTAGAGGGTTCAAGATGTGGTATATTCTTTCAGGCTTTTATCTCTAGAATTAAGAAAAGGTAAGTGAAGGTCGCAAGTGCAGACATCACGTACTCAAAGGAAACTGGTGCAGCAGTTCCTCAGACCTGTGTGGAAGGAAAGCCAAAAATATATGTCTAGGTTGAATTCTCTACCAATAGAAAAGACTACAGAGCTGACTGTAGCAGCAAAGAAAAAGGGAAGAGTGTGGCATAGATCTTTCCACTGGATGGGAAGGAGAGCTCCTTCACATGTCCCGTGTGAAGTACTTCAACTGAACTCCTACTTGCACCACTATTCAGATGTCTGGCTTGCTGCAGAAGTCAGCATCCGTGTGCTGCCTCCATCACAAGTCTCGATGCAGAATTTCCCTCCAGCCATTGAAAACAGCCCGTCCCTACCCAAGTTAGTGGAGGCGCTTCACCGAGTGCGTGTACACAGTGTCCACATCCCAGACCTCTTTTTCACACCAACAGCTGCTTTCTGAGATCACTGGTGAACGTATGGGGCCTCCATAAGGCAGAGCTTGCATTGGAGCTGCATCACTGCCTCAGTCTGTCATGTGCCTGACAGTGCTCTCAGCTCTTTATTCCTGCATCCACTGCCTTTCAGAAATCAACTCGAAGCAAGGAACACAACTTATTTGAAGGCACCCAAAGCACAAGTGCCACTCACCCCATTTCCACTCTTTTCAGTGGTGTTGTGGCTGATCTTTCAAGCATTGTGGCAGTTCTCCAGATGAAAGCCTTGCCAGACTGGGTCGAGCCGTGTAAATCTCCCAAACCTCTCCTGTCCCGTTGTATGGCTGCTCTGTCCTTCCAGCCTGAGCCTCACTTCACGGAGGAGATTGACCTAGTTGTAAAATGCTACGCTGTGATGTGAGCTTTCACACCGGCTGTCCAGACAGCCACTTCAATCCCCTCCGCCGGATCTGAGGGTTCGTGTTAATATTTAGATGCAGATTTGGGCACGTTGCAGAGCCATCAAAGCGCTTGGCACCGTTTGGCTCAGTAGCTTATCTCTGCTGAACGAGAAGCCAAGTATCACCCTGACAAGGCTGCAGTCCAGCAGGGAGTTTATACAGCGTATCTGCTCTCAGCTGTCATGTTAATAATGATTAAACAAAGTAAACACAACACACAATTCTGTCCTCTCCCCCTGAGTGTCATTGTTACCACGTTATGCCTTTGCACATTCAGTTTAATTTTCTCATGCTCATTTCCTATTCATTTTCTCTTTAATTCAGTCAGTGTCTTCTGCCCACTCTTTACAAGTCTCCTTTTTACCCTGCTTTGGTGACTGCAGGCCTCCTGAACTGGGGAAAACCGCAGCAGAGCCTTTGCTTCAGGAGGAGGGACAGCAAAAGCCAGAGATGTTTGAGAACCCGCTGTACGGCTCTATGGGCTCCAAGGGCAAAGCAGCAGCCAAGAAAGAGCAGGACTACCCCAAGGCCTTGCGAAAAGAGCAGCTTCCACCGCCCGAGCAGAGCTTCCACCTCCCGAAGCCACAGGAGCCCGAGAGCTGCAAGGCCTCTGGCAAACAACCATCGCCGCCTTTCCTGGTGCCCACGCCGCGGTTTCGGTCCTACACCTGCTCCGGCCAAGCCGAAGAGAAGAACGCAGGTGAAAAGACTCAGGGGAAGGCGAAGGTGACTGCACCAGCAGAAAACACAGCACCACTTAAAAAACTGGTGAAGCCGTCAAGGTCTGAGGTCGCCCCCAGCTCCCAGGGGCAGCAGAAGCCGCCCCTTCCCTCCAAGAGCCGGGCGGTGCTGGACATGCAGAACCCCAAGGGCCGAGACTATCGGGACAGCACGGAGCTGCCGCACTCCGGGAAGCACCGGACAGAGGAGGGACCAGTGGGCAGGACAGCCACACCGGTGTGTACCTGTGGGAGTGAGGCAGGGGGGCTTGATTTGACCGTGGGGTCCCAGCAGAATGATACTGGAGTGGGACTGGTCTAACCACTGCGCCCTCGCTCTGCAGTGCCTGACCAAACGCAGGGCACTGCCCCAAAAGCTGACACGGCTTGAGGAGCAGGGAATGCCCGGGAGCATTTTGAAGTGATATTGCTGCAGGAGATGTCGTGCCAGGAAACCATGGCCTTGGTTTTGCATGAAGGGTTAACTTCTGGTCTGTTTAGGCTTGATGGCTGGAATGGGAAAAGGAATGGGAATGGGAATGGAATAGGGATAGAATCATAGACTCATAGTCAGTGACTTTGCTGTTCTTACACACATACCGCAGTGTTTCTGAGAATGTCCAGACTTGGCCTGACAGCACCCATCTACAGTAGTGGCTGATAATAGAATTCCTTGGCCATAATTACTACAAAGATGATTAGAAGTAGTTTTCTATGGGAGACACATCAAATTGGAGCAGTGGTGTCCAGAAACATCGCTGAACCCTCTACAGAAATAACCACGCACCTGCTTTTCTGGGCTGGTGGGGTTTTGCTGTGTGTGTGGTTGTGGTTTGGGTTCTTTTGTTTGGTGGGTTGGGCTTTTTTTTGCAGAACGTGATGAGCTGGATGAGAAGGAGTAGGGGAGGTCTTGGTAAATGGGTTTGGGAGAAAAAGAGAGGCCATTTGAGCAAGCTGTAGGATGTTTTCTGTCCTTCTCCATCAAAACTTCCGGAATTAACCATATCTGATGTCTTCTCTCGTCTCCACAGTGAACACGACGTGGCAGATGGCACCCTGGGAGGAATCCTGACGGGGAGAAATGGAGATTACTGCTTTGTTCACACGGACGTCCCTGGTTTGGTGCTAGAACCAGGGGTTTTATTGTTGAGGGTGTATCCCTCTCTCTGATTACACAAGTGTTCTGCTGAGAAGTTGATCTGATGTGCCTCAGACCAGGAGGAACCAGCACCACAACACCAAGTTGGCCTTTTGTGGTGTCACCTTGGTCCTTCCATTAAGAGGCAGGTGATTCAGTACACGCATTACTAAATGTCTTTAAAAAGAGGAAGGTACGGTATAAGGACCAGGAGACGGAAGGGGAGCCCCCTTTCTACAACAGTAAAACGTGTATTTTGTGCTACAGAGCTCCTGTCCAAGAGCGACGTGTCAAAGGAAGCATCCTCAAAGCGGTACAGCTCAAAGCACGGAGCAAGGAGTCCAGGGAGGGTGGGAAATGAGGGTGAATGGCTCGCACTGATACTGCTGAATGTCACACACTGTCACAGGAGCCAGCTCCGCGCTGGGGCCAGCCCCCAGGCTGCGCACACACGTCGCTCACGCAGGGTGTGAGGGCTGGCCCCTGTTATTTCCTAGCAGGTAGTGCCGGTGTACCCCTCACACGCAGGGAAAGCACAGCACGACGTGCAGAACCGGGAGCACAGCAGCGTCCGTGGGCAGCCCCAGAGCAGAGCTGCAGCCGTGGCAGCCCGCGCACAGCACGCTCTCTGCTTTGGAAGGACACCCCGGCTGGTTTTGTAGCATTCCTCATAGATTAATGCTGACCTTACTGTACACTTGTGTTCATTGACTGAGAACGAATCCTGTTAACATACCTGTGATTTCTGGTCTATTCAAGTATTAATGCCACGGTTACAGCCAGGCTCTGCCTGTTTGTGACTCGATCGTTGCTGTTGTCTCTGTGTCGATTACTTAAAAAAATAATAAAAAATAGACACTTTTCTGGTCGTTCTTTGCTGAAAACTCTGAATACAGCAGCGCTGCTGCGATATTGCGACTGAAGACACAATTCTGCGGTGTGTTCCTGTAAGATATATAGGATTTCTACAAAGAGTCTGTAACTTCTCAGCAATGAGACAGGCTCAAATATTCTGGGTTTATCCACTGGCTTTCTAGGCTGCAGGAAAGAAACTACATTGACCAAAGTTTCCAAAGTAAAAGCTTGGTATAAAGCAAGGGTAGCCACTTGAAAAATACTCTTGTAAATGGGAATACTGCTTAAATCTGGCGCAGGTTTGCAGATGAGCAGGATTGGAGATCTTGATTTGGCCCTTCCTTTTGCAAGAGGCGTTGCTGGGGGAGTAGAGGAGCTCTCTGCCGAATTTCCAAGCAGAAGAAAAGTGCGTTACTATTGCCACGCTAAAAATGCATTAGTTGCCCAGCTTGAAACGCCACTTGTGGCTCCAAAGAGGGTCTGAGTCTATGACAAATGCCACCAGATTTTTGCAAGTGGAAAATGTTCCCAAAAAGGCTCTGTAAGGAGCTTTCTGTAGCGGTGAGAGTTCTCAGGTGAGCAATGTAGATATAGAGATGGGCTGGTGCAAAACACATAGCGGGACACTGCAGGATAATGGGATTTATGGTCAGACGAGCTGTGCCTTGAGGTGGTGGAGCTGGGGATGCCAATGCTTGCCAGGTGTGGATATTAGAAAATGAGATTTAACAAGTAAGTCTTGTGCTTATGTTTGTTTTGGTTCGGTTTTACTTTCTGGTAAAAAAATCCCATACTTTTTGGTACTGGTTTTATGTGTCCTGAACCGGGTGAAACTTGGACTGAACGTGAGCTGCTGCTTTCTCCCATGTCCCTGGGCCTGTGGCTCTCTTGCCAAGCCAGGCACAGGTTTCTGGTATTGTCCAATGAAGTTGGTATGGGCAGTGCAAGTATAATGTTCTCATACAAGTACAATGCACTCATACAAGTACAACGTACGCACACGAAGGCTATGAATTGTCCAAAAACTTACTCATTTCCCCAAGATGTAGTCCCTGTGTGTAACCTCCCAGCCTCCTTTATTTTACATTCTTAACACAGCTTATTAAAACAACTTATTCCCATGGAGACCCAGCTGCCAAAATGCTTCAGGTTCCCATCTGCAGGATGTAGTGCTGTAGAACGTGGTGATTTTAAAACCCCAGTTTCCTGCCTGCACCTGATGCACCCAGCTTGAGCTTCCTTGTCCTCTCAGCTGTAAAACAGCTATCACAGGGTGCTGTTAAAGCTTCTCCTAAAATGCTACATATATTTCCTTCAAGGTAAAGGGAGGGTCTTACAGGAAACAGATCAAGGAGGAGAGAAAATAGAAGGAGGAAAATAAAAAGAAAATGAGTTGGGCACTCCAAAATAGCAAGTGGATGATGCTGATGTTGTTAGAAATCAGGCTTTACATTTCTTTTTACCTACTGTAACTTGCCATGTTTTTCCTGTATTATCTCACTCTGCATCACCAGATTTCCCTGAACTTCTGCTCTCAGTTCATTACCAGTATCCTGTATTATTCATATTATTTACAGATCATCTTTACACTCGCTGCCAAGTCAGCTAAACAAAAGATATACTGGAGATTAATCCAGCTCTGCAGAACTACAGCATCATCGTATGTGTGATTCCAGTCTTCACTGCAGCTGTGGGTTTTTTGGTCACAAATCTGCCATATTTGATTCCTGCTTCTGGAGGTGAATTAAAGTTAATGGCAATCTGCTACACATTACGGTTGTTATTAACGCATGATTGGGTTTTTCTCCAAGGTCTGGTCTAGATTACATCCAGAACAAATTCATCTCTCAGAAAGCATTAGATTATATCATAACTAATAAAGATGGCACACAACAGAGTAGTACATGTTTGGCTCGGGAAAGAAGGAATGGATGGGGATGGATGCAGGAGATGGGGTCCAGCAACAAGCAGAGAGGGTACAGAAAAGCAACCAACGAAGTGAAGAGTTTGTGGAAGGAGAGAGCAGAAGGGAGGTGGGTATCAGCCATCTCCAGTCTCCTTCTCGACACGGAGAAGGGAAGACAGCGAAGAAATTGGAACAGAAACAGGAGACCTTTGCGACAGCAAGGAGGAAGAGTCAGCACAGAAATGACGTCTGCTCTGTACTTCACAGCAATGGTTCTCAATTGGGAAAGGGCAGTGTCAGGAGGAAGGAGCCAGGCTCTGCTCTGGGATGGCCAATGCCAGGACAAGGGGCAATGGTCCCAAGCTGGAGCACAGGAGGTTCAAGCTGAAGATGAGGACAAACTTTGTCAGGGTGAGGGTTATGGAGCATGGCCCAGGCTGCCCAGAGAGGTTGTGGAGTCTCCTTGTCTGCAGACACCCAAAGCCCTGGCCGTGTTCCTGTGTGACTGCTCTGGTGCTCCTGCTGTGGCAGGGGTTGCACTGGGGGAGCTTTCCAGGTCCCTTCCCACTCCTGACATTTGGGATTCTGTGATCACTTCAGTTTCCATCACAACGTGGCTATCTTGGTGCAGAATCACAACAAAATTGGGCTGAAGGGACACTGCAGGGCCCCGTGCAATCCATTCACCACACAATCAATGGGTAAACCACACAATTCTGAACAGAGAGATGCTTTTCACTGGCCTCGTGTACCTGCAGTGTCCTTCTCCAACAGCCTGTTTCAGAGCTGTACTGGCCCTGCCAGCCCTCCCTCATCAATAATGGACATTTCTGGGTGGACTTGAAGCCCTTTTAGTCCAGTCCTGTCCCTGGTGAACAAGCAGATCAGGTTGTTGTCTTCATTTTCTGACACATCGTATGTACACGATGCTCTTGTGCTTCCCATGGGCCTCCTCCTCTTTAGAGAAGACAATCCAAACCACCCAAACCTGCTCTTGAATAAACCAGCAGGTTTTAATGGTGGTGGGAGCAGAAGGCACCGCAAATGGGGAAAAAAAGCTACTTTCAGTGCAAATGAGCAGTTTTATCACATGTTCTTGTAACTCTTATTGACATAAAAGGAGAGCAAGATGGTAGAAGATGACATGGGGCAGGTATGTGGCATTGGAGAGACTGCCAGAAGCTGGATTTAGGAAGAAAGAGGAATATTGTAAAAAGCGTTGTTAGCAGGTGTTGTAAAAATACCCAGGATGTCCTGCCCACTATGGAAATCACAGGTTACAGAAAGATGGACATCTTCAACATGGTGTGATTTGTCTGAGATTCAGATTCACAGATTAATTGTCCCCTTTCCCTTGAAACAGTCCAACAGTTATTTTAAACAGTAAAACATATGCAGCGTTTCCAGTAATTTAGCTAATGCT